GTCCCTTACCAAATGGCTTCAGTTTTCAGCATCCGTTTTCTTTATCTCATGTAGGCTAGATTCAATGACTCGAAGTGACGGGTGAGCTTCAAATCACTGACATGTTGGCAACTGAATTGGCATTCCTCCACCCCCCATGACGTCTGCGGCGTTTCATCATTTATGCCCCATTCTTATATTTTCAATATTTTAACATTCAACAATAACTTCATAAAAAAAATATCGATGCAGAAGATCGTAATTAAGGTTCAACCTGGTCCAAAGGTATAAAGGATGCACTTCAATTTATAACGGTTAATTACGAAGGAATAATAATTTTCGTCCGTTCTTGGATCGTTTTGATCAGTCGATAATTGGCGACGAATCCTGCAAGCTGGTTTCAAGCCTTCTCCCATTTATCGCGGCTTTCCCTGATCCTGACGAAATGTTCTTACCGTCGTAATGGGCGATCAGGCGGTCTAGTCCTTCCTCGGGAGTGTAGCAGTTGACTATCAACGCTGACCATCTCCCGTCCGTATGCTGAGCTACGTGCCTTGACCACTCTAGCTTCTTCCCTCTGCAACTGTCTCATCACCGTGTCGCAAAGAGAAATTCCCACCATTCTTCTTTCCGCGGTGCTCACCGACATTAAAGAGTGATTAAGTCTCCCAGCCATACAACGCTGCCGGCATGGACGGCAAAATTGAAGAGTTGAGTGCTGGTTTGTTTCCTGATGTTTTCAAGGAAGGGGTCCTTGAATAAATGGAACCCGCGCCAGCCGGTCTCCTTTCTTCGCTGAATTTTTCAGGCTGATCATCCGCATGTTGATCACCTGGTTTAGAAAAATGTATTTATGCACTTGCTTTTTTCATTGTTTCATATTACCTGGTTCTTCAGCAGGAAATCTGATCATAATATCTTCGTCTTTGACCGACTGATTGCAATTAGATTTCTGCACTATTTGTCTGTAGCATATCTTGTAGCTGAATTTTTCTCAAACACTACGTCATCAGCGAACCATTTCCGAAAAGGCAGTGATTGCGGA